AGGACTTGGAACACAACTGCCTGGGCCTCCTGGCTGCCACAGTCTTGGGCTTTGTTCTCAGCTGGAGCGCTTTCAATGGGCCCTGGCCTACTGAGGACCTGTAAAATGGGCTCCCAGGGGTGGCTTGACAAGCCCAGGTTACTGTTTGAGACGTGGGGATGGTGAAGGGACAGTAAAATACTAAGCAGAGGGGATGAGACCTGCTCTCCCCACAGCCCAGTGAGTGTCCTTCCCCCAACACCAACCTGGCCTGAACTAGACCGCCCTGCTGCCCACTCTAGCGGCCGCCCTCTGAGACAAACCAACTGTCTCTGCGACCCCCACCCTCCCTGCTCCCCACCCTGCCATCCCCCACTGCCCTGTGGCTTTGGAGATTGTTTTTTTAATCATTTTATTGGGGGCTCATACAGTTATTATCACTGTCCATACCTACATCCATTGTGTCAAGCACTTTTGTACATTTGTTGCCACCATCATAATTTTTGAAATATTTTCTTTCTACTTGAGCCCTTGGTATCAGCTCCTCATTTTCCCCCTCGCTCCCCAATCTCCCTCCTTCATGAACCCCCGATAATTTATAAATTATTATTTTTTTCATGTCTTACATTGTCCGTTGTTCCCCTTCACCCACTTTTCTGTTTTTTGTCCCCCTTGGGGCAGGGTTATATGTAGATCATTGTGATCAGTTCCCACTTTCTCCCCCCACCTTCCCCTTGTCCCCCTGGTATTGCTACTCTGCTTATTGGTCCTGAGGGGTTTATCTGTCCTGGGTTCCCTGTGTTGCAAGCTCTTCTCTGTACATGCTCCTGGACCTTGATTCCACGGAAAGCTCTGACTCCTCCCTTGAATGGGGAATCCTCCCTCATCAGGCTGAGTGCTCCCAAGGGTGGGTGGCCAGGCTCCCACTTTCAGACTGGAAGCTCTGAGGTAAGATCACTGGACACCCCGCCCTCCTAAACAGTGAAAACATGCTTGAGGCTGGAGGGCTGCAGCAGCCGGGAGGCAGGTAGGAGATGGCAGAACTGAGCAGGGACCTACTCCCCTCCAACAATACCCCAAACTCCATGTGCATGTAATGAGTGGGCCCCCATGTCCACGTCCACTCTCTATGTGTGTCCCATTCTCCATGTCTGGAAGAGCCAGCACTGGCCAGCAGGGCTGCCTGGTAGACAGCCCACCTAATCCCACGGATTAATTTAACTCTGAGGCTAAGAGGGTCCAGCTCTTAAGGATTGAAGGTGGTGGTGGTGGTGGTGGTGGAGGTGGAGGTGGAGGTATCACTGGGGAAATCAAGGCACAGACAGTGTGGCAGCAACAGAGCTCTTGGGTCCACTGCTGCCCCTCCTCCTGGCACTCTCTGCCATCCGTATCCTTGAGAACAATCACCACTCTCCTGCAGACACCTGCTCCAGCCTACTCATGTCTTGATTCCCCTCCATGCCCAACGCAACGCAATGAGGAAGGCAGGGATGTGGTATCTTTTTCTCACAAATACAGCTGAGAAAATCCAAGGACCAGCCAGGGGAGGCAGCTCGTCCAAAGTCACACAGCAAGGGAGAGATGATCAGGAATGCAGTTGCAGGTCTCCCCAACTAGGACCCTTGTCTGGACCAGCACTGCCCCACGGAGGCCCCCAACTTCCTTCCCAATTTGCCACCCACTCCCAGCCCCTCTCCAGGAATGGAGGGTGGTCTTCCTGTGCGATGCCCACCCAGGGATGCAACTTCTCTGAGCCTCGCTTTCCATTGGTAGAAGGACCCCAGATCTGCTACAGCACACGTCGAGGGCACTTCAGTGCCACAGAAAATGCTATGGGACGGTGCTGCGCCCACAGATAGGCACGTCCCTCGGACAGGGTTAAGCCTGTGCCAGCAGACTGACTCCACAGCTCCGATTGCCCTCTCGATAGCCTATGCCCCTCAGCTCTTGTCTAAGTTGAGGGGTCCACTGGAGGGGGCAGACCTGAACTCCTCCCCTCTTCCTCCCCCTGCTTTCTGCCTGCCAGCCCCCACTTCCTTCTCCTAAGATCCTAAGAACCCTCTTTCTTTGTCATCATTGAAAAATTGAGGCAATGCAGTAAGTTCCTGATGCCCAGCGAACAGATTCTTGGGGTTAGTTGCATTGGCTCAGGCCTGGGTGTGCTGGGGAAGGGGACCCCTGGAGCTAACTGTGCCCACTCTGGCCTCCTCTCAGGCACTGGGGGCTGGGTCAGCAGCCCAGTTGAGGAAGAGAAGAAGAAGTTAGGAGCTTCCCCCCACCCCCCAGGTTCCTGCTTTTATGGAGGAGGCAGGCAGCAGCGAGAGAAGGTCTCTTGCCATTGGGTCACTTGCTGCATGATGTCACAATCAGGCAGCATGGCGGTGGCCAGTCGGAATGTCGGGATGACCTCCTGAGGGTCAAGATGGCCAGGTGAAAGAAAGGGGAACCAGAGGGGCATTATCCAAGACTTGAGGGAGGAGATGGTCTTCCCAGGCTGCCTTTCCTGGCTCTGGTTGGCAAGTTGCCCCTCCTAATGGAGCTGCCTCACCCTCCACTTGGACAGTGCCAACTTTGCAATGCTCTTCCTCCTACCTGGAACGCTGTTCCCTTCACCTCCTTCTGTGTTTGATGTGTTCGTCTCTCTCGAGAGGGGCCTATTCCCCTAGCCACCTCTTGAGGCAAACAAGAATGGCACCCTGTTGATGTGACTGGGGGGACAGGGGTCCTGGTGTTATGGCCATGTGTGCACTAACCAAATGACCTTGGGCACTTCACATTGGTGCTCTGTGACTCAGTTTCCCCCACATGCAGCACGAGTCCTTGATCCTTGAGGCCCCTCAGCTATGGCCCGTCTCCCTTATCACTGTGTACCCAGCCCAGTGCATAGCACAGAGCAGGTGCTTGGTCGATGGATGGATGGATGGTTGGATGGATGGATGGATGGATGGATGGATGGGTGACACAGAATAGAAGTGCCCCGGGAATTCCAAGGCTGGGGGAAGAAGGGGGACGGGGTGGTGGGGAGGAAGTCAGAGGAGGCCATCTCTGTCTTCTCTGCCCTCCCTTTGTGGTCCCCACTGCCCTTATCCGTGCTCCCCACAGTCCCTGGGGGAGCTGCTAAGGGGAATTGAGGTGCTCCCTGCTAGCCCCCCTCTTCAGGATGGGGGTGGGGACCCAGCTCAGGCTCCAGGGTGCTTTGAGCCCTGACAGCTCCCAGCTCACTAGCTGCTAAGGGGAATTGAGGTGCTCCCTGCTAGCCCCCCTCTTCAGGATGGGGGCGGGGACCCAGCTCAGGCTCCAGGGTGCTTTGAGCCCTGACAGCTCCCAGCTCACTCAGGCCTTTCCTGCAGCCTCTGGCAGCCTGGATTCCTGGCCTGACAGCCTACTCCAGGCTGAGGGGGTGAGCGGACTCCAGCCTTCTGGGAAGCAGAGATCTTACCTACTCCAGGCTCCAGGGTAGGAACTGGGGAGGTGGTGGGGGCCATAGCCAAGGCCATCCAGGTGAGTGCTCTTCCTCTAGCCCCCAAAGTCACAAAGAATTTGGAACATCCCAGGTCACATGACCAATGGGGAGACAGTCCTAGAGAGGAGGGCTGATCTTCCTGGGGTCATACAGGTAGTTAGAGTCTGGAAGCTTAGTTTTTAGATCTCCAGAAACCCATATTTCCTCCCTCCCTTTCCCGTCTTCCTTTATTTCTGCACTCTTTTCCCAAACACAGCAGCACCATTGTTTAAATGCTCATCCTTTACAGAAAACACTAAAATATCACCAAGTATGAGAAGAAAGCCTCTGTTGTGTTATCCTGGGGGTTGGCACACACTAAGCCCGTGGGTGTGGGGTTCTATAACTTGGCGTGTGCTCTTTTGGGGACCTCTGTCTGGGCGTGGTCTTCATCTGGCCGCTCTCTCAGAGCGGTGTGTAGAGAGGTAGGCAGCGTGTGAGGAGAGCCTTCTGATAGATGTATTGCATCATGGGATTACTCTGACTTCCTTTCACATGTGTGGGCATCAGCTAAGTGCCCATACTCAGGGAACTGGTTCAGTACTTTATGGCTGGTACTTGCATTCTGTGGTTTTTAAAAAAGCCAGTCCCCTAGGGTGAGCATGGAGGTTGCTTCCCATCCTTCACCCTGGTGGACTTGCTGGGGTGGACTCCCCTCATCCTGGTGGACTTGCTGGGATAGACTCCCCTCACCCTGGTGGATGTGCTGGGGTGGACAGCCCTCACCCTGGTGGACGTGCTGGGTGACTCCCCTCATCCTGGTGGACTTGCTGGGATAGATTCCCCTCACCCTGGTGGGCGTGCTGGGGTGGACTCCCCTCATCCTGGTGGACATGCTGGGGTGGATAGCCCTCATCCTGGTGGACATGCTGGGGTGGATAGCCCTCATCCTGGTGGACATGCTGTGGTGGACTCCCCTCATCCTGGTGAACATGCTGGGGTGGACTCCCCTCATCCTGGTGGACATGCTGAGGTGGACTCCCCTCATCCTGGTGGGCGTGCTGGGGTGGACTCCCCTCATCCTGGTGGACATGCTGGAGTGGATAGCCCTCATCCTGGTGGATGTGCTGGGGTGGACTCCCCTCATCCTGGTGGATGTGCTGGGGTGGACTCCCTCATCCTGGTAGACATGCTGAGGTGGACTCCCCTCATCCTGATGGACATGCTGGGGTGGACTCCCTCATCCTGGTGGGCGTGCTGGGGTGGATAGCCCTCATCCTGGTGGGCATGCTGGGGTGGACTCCCCTCATCCTGGTGGATGTGCTGGGGTGGATAGCCCTCATCCTGGTAGACATGCTGGGGTGGACTCCCCTCATTCTGGTGGACATGTTGGGGTGGACTCCCCTCATCCTGGTGGGCATGTGGGGTGGACACCCTCACCTCCTGCTCAGGAGGGACTTGCTCTTTGGTGGAGTCATGACTCCGGAGTGGGCCCACGTGTACCTGTGTGCACCTGTGGGCCCATTGATCTGAGTCCAGCCGCCAACCCCACGAAGCCCCGCTCTCCCTGTCTCTGCAGGGAACCGGCTGGATGAGGGCTCGGACGTGGAGTCAGAGCCGGACCTCCCGCTGAAGCGGAAGCAGCGCCGCAGCCGGACGACCTTCACAGCGGAGCAGCTGGAGGAGCTGGAGAAGGCCTTCGAGAGGACCCACTACCCAGACATCTACACCCGCGAGGAGCTGGCACAGAGGACCAAGCTGACTGAGGCCCGAGTGCAGGTGAGGAGCCTCGAGCTGGCCCTGAGCGGGTCTGCATGGTAGGCTTCGGGCTTCAGTGCAGAGTACGTGGGCAGCAGGTATTGGCTGACAGAGGAATGGAGCCGTGGGCAGCCCCAGGGAAGCCAGGGCAGGAGCCTAAAGGAGAAGAAAGGGGGAGGGAGGGAGAAAAGAAGACGAGGAGGGGCCTTCGTTCGGCCAGAGAGAGGCTTTGGGTGGAGGGAGCTATAACCTCCCCACCCCTACCCCCAAGTCCCTGAAGAGCGCTGGCACTGATTAGAGCCTAGTTTCCTGAGATGGGTGAGTTTCCCGTTTAGGGACGCATGCAAACAGATGGAGCAACTACGTCCTCCTTTAGAGAGAGGATGGGTGGACCCAAAGCCCTGGAACACAATCTCCTCCTCATTGGAGGGGCTGGGGCCAGAGACTGGGGACTGAAGGGGATCGAGCAGTTCTCTCCTGCTGTGATTCAACTCCTGGCCCAGGCTGAGCAGCAGATTCTGAGGGCAGATGTGCCGGAGGGAGGGTCTCAGGGGTCTGATTGGGATGGCTGGTGGGTGCGGGTGGGGGAGGAAGGGTTCTTGATGAATCATGGTGGATTCTGGTGGATTCTTGATGAATCATGCTCCGGGAAGGTCACTCCCAGGCCATCTCCTCCACGGGAAGAGGGGCTGCAGAGGGACCTCCCAAGACTGCTTGCTGGATGGGCACCCACGGGCACCACACATGACCTGGGCTCAGGTCTCTTGTCAGGGCAGTGAAGACCCCTCCAGGGCCCAGAGGCTCAAAGAAGCCAGCTCACCTGGAGCCCAGAGCACTGAGGGAGCCTGGAGGGAAGAAGCCAACCAGGAGTGTGGACAGCAGGGTGGCTTAGTCATAGACTGTTTGCTTTGTCTGCAGGTTGGATTCCCGGTCCCTCCACTGGAGGCTTGGGTGTGGCTGTAGTTCTGAGCAGGTTTCAACAGAGCTCACAGACGCAGGTAGACCAGGAAGAGAGGCCTGGCCATCTCCTGAAAATCAGCCCCTGGAAGCTCTGTGTATCACAGAGGTCCAATCAGCCATGGGTCATGGGCACCGCACAGGCAGGCAGCACGTTTGTCCCTTTGTGCACGGGCTCCCATGCTCCGGTGGTGGGCACTGCACTATGGCTGTGTTAACCACGAACAAGAAAGAGTCATCCAAGTCCCCTCTGGCTTTTAAGGGACCGGTGTGTGTTTCGAGGCCTTCTGTACCCCACCTTTGAGGGAGACGTGGCCGAGGGCAGGAAGCTGCAGCCGGCTCATCTCATCCCCACTTCCTCCTGAGGGTGACATCTGAGCCTGCCCCTCCCCCTGCCCTCTGCAGCTGTTCTCCTGGGCACATTCCTGGGCGCTTTCTCACTCCTGTCTGGCAGGCCAGGCTGCCTCCCACCACCTCGAAGCTGCCTGTTTCTTGTAAAATATCCTGCCTGTCAGGCCAGGGCTTTCACTAGCCCAGGGGACCAGAAACAGGTGTCACTCAAGGTCTATGGTGGGAGGGGGCTGGGAACAGGGGAGCAGCCAGAGCCCAGGCGAGCCCACCATAGCGGGTGGGGTGGGGGCAAGGCTGCAGCTCTCCATCACCCTCTTGCCCCCCGTCATACTTAGGAGCCCCCAGCACACAAAGCCATGCCTCCTTCTGCAGGCAAGAGCTCCCCAGCATACAAACCGTCTCCCTCCTCTGAAGAGAGGGTCCCCAGGGCAAAGCTGGGTCTCCCCTGAGCCAAGCTGTCCTAGATCTGGGCTGGGCCTCCCCCACACTGGAGCTGCCCTAGGGATGGGGCTGGGCCTTCTTCGTCAGCCTAAGAATTCTTCAAGCTGAGAACAGCCAACATACATTGAGTTTTTGAGTAAAGGCGACAAAGGCTGAGCCAAAAAGTCAAGTGAGAAATCATCAACCATTTGGCCGGAGTAGCAAGAACTTGGAGGCCAGGGCGGCTGCAGGTCTGAGAAGCCCCTGAGGGCAGGCCCGGGGCCAGTAGGAGAAAGTCCAAGGTCAATATCAGGGTCTGTAGGAGAAGGGAGCCCATCAGGGTCTGATTCTAGGGTTGTGATGTCAATGACCCCCATTATTGTTGTTATTGTTGTTAGTTGCCATTGTTGTTATTGTTGTTAGTTGCCATCCCATTGGTCCTGACTCATCGCGACCTATGAACAAAAGACTGAAACGCCACCTGGCCCTGTGCCATCCTAACCAATGCGCTCATGCTTGGACCCATTGTTGCAGCCACTGTGCCAAAGATGATCCCCGGGTCCCCTTACCATTCCAGTATCCTAATTGACTACCGATCCGGGCTGCTTGTGAGGTGGTGAGGTCCCCGTGACTGGAAGTATCCAAGCAAAAGCAATGTCTGTCAGAGATCCCGGAAAGAGGATCTCTGCTGTCGTCCGTGGGGCGGGTATTGGTGTGCCTGGCATCCCTTAGTGTGCCTGGTTCTGCACTTGGAAGTCACGGCCGAGGGTTCTGAGAGTCTGCATTCCTGTGACTCCTCCTCTCCGTGGCCCCGGCAGATGGGCGAGGGAGTGGAGCAGGAGAGTGTGGACTCTGAGTCAGGTGACCCATGTTCGAATCCTAGCTCTGACCTGTACTCCTTCCCTCAGTCTCCTCATTTATAAAACAGGGGTTACTGGTAATGGGGTGGACCGTTTAGTGTCAGGTGAGGACCAAGTCGTTGCTCTAACCAACAGCTGGGCGAGTGCCCGACCCCTGGAGGTGCCATGAATGTGGGCTGTTATGATGAGAGGAGGCCTGGCGGGGCAGCAGAGAAGGGCTGGGCTACTCACTGAAAGGTGGTTGGTTCAAACCCACTTCGCAGCTCCGAAGGAGAAAGGCCTGGCAATCCACTCCCGGAAAGATGAACTCACTTACCACCAATGAGTCCATTCCAACTCAAGGTGAACCTATAGGACAGGGTAGAACCATCCTTGTGGGTTTCTGAGACTGCAACTCTTTATGGGAGTAGAAAGTCTCATTGTTCTCCTGAGGGGCAGCTGGTGGTTTCAAACTGCCTACCTTGTGGTTACAGTTCCCCAAATGCAATAGGGCAGTTCTCATCCATCATGCGAGGTCCCTGTGAGTCAGGCTCGGCACACAGCAAGATCATTGTTAAAATGTCACCTATTCTTGGTAGTTCCAGTTCTGGCCACCCTTGCAACATCAGGTTCACTCAGCCCCAACTATTTACTGAGCACCCACAACAGACAGAAAAGTCACCGTGGTCCAGGAGCTGGGGTTCTAATAGACAAGTGGACATTAGGTTGGGCGGGGCCCTGGGAACTAAAATGTGGTCTGCCTCCCCCAACCCCTTGCTCCACAGCAGAGGGTCAGAGCCTCTCTTGGAAGCCTGCTGGACACTACATGTTCCCTCTGAGGCCTGGCAGAGTTGCCTGTAGGAAGTGTGCCACTGAGCAGGGTTGGGGAGGGAGTTGTCAGGCAGGAGATGCTGGCCTGGGGACCAAAGACTCCTTTTTCTGGAGAAAGGTTCACCTTTAGAAGGCATGTGGCCCATCCGCACCCTGGGACACTGTCCTTGGGGGCAAGCAAATCCCTTAGTGTCCACAGACCGCAGACCTGGGCCCATCCGAGAAGCGGAGACTGCAGGGCGATGGTCCCCAGCTCTCCCGGTGGCTGCTCTCACGCCTGCTGGTAGAAACTCCCCGTCTTCGGTGGTGGGCACCGGAACAGCAGGCTGTGTGTAGGGGGTGGGGATGGGGGTGCTTCGCATGTTCCCCCAAGTCATAGCCCGGCTGTTCGATTCCATTCTGTGGCACCGAATCCCCTTTGGGTTGTGAAAACCAGGTAACCTAGAATAAGACCGTGCTACCCCCACCAATATCCGTCACAGACCTACCCGAGTAGGAATTCCTGTAAGGCACAGGTGACCAAGACTTCACCGACTGGCCGGAAGGTGGGAGGTCAACGCACCGCAGAAGGAAGCCCTGGCCACTTGAAAACACTGTGGAGCAGGTGTCCTCTGACACCGCCGGCATCACCGTGAGTTGCTCCCTGGTTTTAGAGGGACTCAGGAATGAACCCCGTGAGTCTTTTCCTAACACGGGGTACCATGCACGGTGTGGTGCTACACTCTCAACACGGACTCTCTCTCTCTCAGCCAGTCTTCACCATCACCCCAGGGAGAGGGCCTCTCCATCTTCCGGGTGAGAAAGCCAAGGTTGAGCAAAGGAGTAGTGAATCAGGGACGGAGCTCGACCTGGGGCCACGGCTATGCGCAGTGGAGGCTCTGTTCTTTCCCCCTGGGCTACATTCAGAGAAAGCCCCACCCGTGCTCCCTGTGGGTTGACAATGAATAATGAAACAGCCCCCATTTTCAAGCACTCGGCACTGATCAAGGACCCTGGTGGGGGTTGGCCTCCCTGTCCCTCTTGGTGCTTGTGTTTTCCCATCTGAAATGGGCAGCTTGCACTGAACCCCCAAACCAAACTCACTGCCCTCGAATCGATTCCAACTCTTCGCGATCCCATAGGACAGAGGAGAACTGCCCCGTTAGGTTCCTGAGACCCCAGCTCTTTGCGGGAGCAGTGTCTCGTCTTTCCCTTGCTGAACAGCTGGTGGCCTTGAACTGCTGATCTTGTGGTTCGCAGTGCACTGCTTAGTCCATTAGAAAGATCTCTTCTCACTCAGCCACGGGAGGATTTCTAAGAGAACAAGAATTGTGTGCTATCGATGATGTTCTAAGCAATTCACAAATATGTTCACTCACTCAAAGGCCAGAACTATCTACCCACCTGTGAGGCAGGTGCGAACATTAGCTCCTTGCTAGGAAGAACATGAGGAATGGAAGGATGACAAAACGTTCCCGTTTTAGCAAGGGGCTAGGCAAGAACCCCAAACTCCTGTGCCTGTCAGAGTAGCACTGCGCTCCACAGGGTTTCCAATGGCTTAGGACCATTTGGAACTAGATCTCCAGACCTTTATGGGGCTTCAAACTAACAACTTCCCTTTAGTAGCCAAGTGCTCAATTATCTGCACCATGCAAGGGACTTGAGATAGGAAGCAAACCCAGGTGGCCAGACTTTGAACCCCTGTTCTAAACCATGAGTTATACTTTGTGGACGGGGGATGAGGTGGCCCTGGGGCAAGAGTACCAGCTCAGCAGAAAAGGTAGGAGAGTTGGCAGCAAAGGGAGTCCTCCTGGATTCGGAGAGGGGATGTTAGAAGCCCTTCCTCAGGGCCCCCTGCATCGTGAGCTCGCTGCAGGGCGAGAAGCGGCGGTTTCTTTCCTCAGCTGCTGGGTGCCCTGGCCAAGACCACATCCTGTGCATCTCCGCTCGGTCTCTGGCGTGGCACCTGCAATCCCAGTGAAAGGTTGGAGGTGAGGCGGAGGGAGGGACGCACAAATGTGGGGAGGGGAGGGGGAAGGATGCTTCTGATTTTATGCGGCGCTCCGGATGACAGAGCAGCGAGGCCCACGCTGACACCATTCCCCGACCATCTCCACACTCTCATGGGACCGGTATTGTCATTTTCTTTGGGATGAAAGCAATGTATTTTAAACGAAAGGCGTCTGACCACCAAGGGAAGGCAGTGAGTAGTGAAAACAGAACACGGGGCCTGTAGGAAAGTGGTCCCTGCAGAGGACCTCCTCTCTGAATGAAAGAGAGCCCCTGATCCTGGTGGCACAGAGGGTTAAGCCCTCCACCTCCCCTGGCTGCTAACCAAAGTTCGGAATTCAAACCCACCAGCCACTCCGAGGGAGGAAAATGTGGCAGCTGTCTACTTCTGAAAAGATTGGCTAACATCCTGGAGACCCTTTGGGGGGAGTTCTACTCTGTCCTGTGGGGTCTCTAGGCAATGGGATGGGCTCAAAGGTAAGGCTGTTTGCTTTGTGTTGAGCAAGGCCCTGAGGCTGGGTTAGAGGCCCTGGTGGCACACTGGGTTAAGTGGGGGCTGCCCATTGAAGGGTCAGGGGCTGACACCCACCAGCTGCTCCTCCGGAGAAAGAGGGGGGTCTCCGTCTGATTTACAGCCTTGGGGACCCTGTGGAGCAGGTCTGCTTTGTCCTCCGGGGTCTCTGTGAGTTGGCATCTCAATGGCAGTGGGTTTGGGTTTTGGTAAGGATTGGTTAGCACCAGGCCCAGGCCTTCCCAGAGGCCTGGGTGCCAAGTGTGGAGGAATAATGTGTTCCCCATTGATTCAGGTTGTTTAACATCTGTAACATAGCTTGGGTAGGAAGCCACCCTTGGGGGAACCCCTGAATCAGTACAAAGATTTCACCGCCTTCTGGAGCTGGGGACCTGGACAATACTGACCGTTTCTTGACGAATTCAGAGGCAGTCCTAGCCTGAGTCACCCCCGTGCCAGGACACAGCTGGGGAGTTTTTCTGCCTCTTCTCCTACCACTGTGTTGCCCAACTAGATGAGAGCCCGCGGCTCTGTTCATCCAGCCTGGAGAGCAGCCATGGGGCCTCCCATCTGGGCAGATCTGGGAAAGACGAATAGCCCCCAGGCACGTCAATGGCCCCATGCAGCTGAGACCAGCTCCCCTTCCCTATGCCAGCTGGCATGACCCAGAGGTTTGTGAATCTTGTGCAATTCACCCCACAGGAAGAGACCCCTGGCTAAGCTCTGTGACCCCAGGCCAGGCAAGGACACATCAGAGCTATCTGTCTTTCCTTGATCTTCCATCCATCCATCCATCTATCCATCCATCCATCCATCCATCCATCCATCCATCCACCATCTATCCATCTCTCCCTTCTTCCCTTCCTCCTTCCATTTTCTATCCATCCATCCATCCTTCATCCATTCACCCATCCACCCCTCTAACGATTCACCCATCCACCCCTCCAATCATCCATCTATCCATCCATCCACCTATCCATCTCTCTTTCCCTCCCTTCATTTTCCACTCATCTTCCATCCACTCACCCATCAACCCCTCCATTCCTCCCTCCCTTCCATCCATCATCATCTATCGTTCATCCATCCACCTCTCCACCCCCCTCGCCCTCCCTCCCTCCCCTTTCCATCTATTCCCCAACCACCTATCCATCCATCCATCATCCATCTCTCCATCCACCCATCCATCTACCCTCCATCCTCCATCCACCTACTCTCCACCCATCTTCCATCCAACAATTATTCTCTAGGAGAGGGAGGCAGAAAAGCCCAGCCCAGAAATAAGCAAATAGAAGAAGGCTCTTTTGTGAAGCAGAGGAGGGCCTCACCTTCGAGGCAGTGGTTGGGAAAGTGGAGAAGCCGAGCTGAGGAAGAGCGTTTGCAGGAGAGGGAACAGTATGTGCAGAGTCCCCCAGAGCACTCCCCACCCTCCACCCCCATCCACACACACATTCTCCTCCCTGGCTGGGCTCCCTCTGTCGCAGGGAAGTTGAGCAGAGCAGCATAAGGAACTCCTGAAGGTCAGGCTGACTGATCAGCTACAGATTAGCAAGTCGTTGACTTCGATGAGCCTGTTTCTCTTCTATAAAATGAGATTAGGACAGTGGTTCTCAACCTTCCTCATGCCGTGACCCTTTCATACAGTTCCTTATGTTGTGGTGACCCCCCGAACCACAAAGTTATTTTTCTTTGCTACTTCATAACTGTAATTTTGCTACTGTTATGAATCAGGTGATCCCTGTGAAAGGGTCATTCGACCCGCCAAAGGTATCGCGACCCACAGGTTGAGAACTGCTGGATTAGGAGAATCCATGTTAGCAAACAAACAAGTCTGTTGGCGCTGAGTTGCTTCTGATTCAGGACTTCCTTTGTTACACTTGTTGCCAGTACCTTGATGGAGATAGAGCCTCAGGCCATTCTTCTGCAATGCAGCTAGATGGGTGGACTTGAACTGCCAACCTTTAGGTTAGTAGTTGAGCACAGACTGTGTGCCACGCTTGGTGAGCATGTGAAGCTCAAAACCTGACAGCAACGAAGATGGGGAAATCTGAGGCTGTTCCCCAACTCGGCAAAAACTCCCTGCCGGCTCATAGCAAATCCCCGAGGGAGAGAGAGGGCGCTGTCCTGTCTCAAGGAGCTTGATGCTTCACAGGCCAGGTAGTGCCTCCATTTCCGGCCAGAGACCCCTCACCTGGGAGTCTGGAGAGGGTTCCTGGGACACTTCCTTACAAGGTGTTGCCAGTCAGGTTGCCACTGGGCATCCCCAAGGCACATACAGCTGATGCAGAAAGAGCCAGGCACCGGAGCAAGTCACCCATGCTCTCTGGGCTCAGTCCCCTCCCTGTGGCATGGCGACAGTCACACCCTGCCCACCGCCCACTCTGGTGGTCCTGGGGCATGCGGAATCGTGTCTCTGAATGTGCTTTGCCAACGGCCACGTGCTGAAGGAAATGTGGATGCTGGCGGGGCCAGGCGATGTTTGTGCCTCTGCTCTCCCTCAGGGGCCAGTGGGGCTGAGGGCTGCCCATGCTCTTCTCTGGCCCGCAGGTCTGGTTCAGTAACCGCCGTGCCCGCTGGCGGAAACAGGCAGGAGCCAACCAGCTGGCAGCATTCAACCACCTTCTGCCCGGAGGCTTCCCACCCACTGGCATGCCTGCGCTGCCCCCTTACCAGCTGCCGGACTCCACCTATCCCACCACCACCATCTCCCAAGGTGAGTGCCCCCAACCCACCCATTCAGCAGCTCAGCCACACCTGCCCTGCGCTTCCCACTTGTCCCAACCCTCCCGCCTGCCCTGGCACTCCGGACCCCCCCGCACCCTCCCCTAACCCCATGACCCTCTGCTTCTAGTAAGCCAGAAATGCTGGGACTCTGCCCTTGAGTCCTTGGCTCTGACAATGGGCCACAGGGCATCAGGTGTGGACCGACAGGTGCCCTCCATGCCCCAAGCCAGGAGCTTGTACAAGGTCTGCCTGGAGCCCAAGTGAAGCTCTGCCTTTCCCACCAGCTCCCTGGAGCTGTCAGTTCTCTGTCCAGGGGCACTACTCTGAGGGATGGGGGGCTAGCGCATCCTGGTACCAGGGCAGTGAGCAGGCCAATGTCTGCGGAGAAAGGACGAGGAGGCCCTCCCAGGACATCTGCCTCGTCTCTGTTTTAAGGAGAGAGTGGCACGCATGTACATGCATGTTGGGGAGATATTGGGGTCATCTTTTTCTTTTAATTTTTCTTAGGTTTAGTACATAAACATTTCCAGGGACCCTCCTCTGTCCCCAAGGCAGCGTCCTGTGAGGGTCTCCCCCACTCCAGCCGAAGGGTCAGGTCTCCCTGGGCTGGGCCAAGAAGGGCCAGGGCCCTGAGCCCCATCTGGGAAGGAGGCATCTTTTGGGGCTCGACCACTTGGTGGCTAGAATCAAAGATTTTTGCCCTAGTCTGGAAAGAGGGTGGGCGGAGGTGAATGGATGAGAGAGCTATAGGATCAGAGGGCCCTCTAACGGGGAGATGGGGATGTTTGGGTGCCAGGAGTAGAAGGGTGAAGGGCCCATTTGCCACTTTCTTTGGCTTCTGCCCCCTTTCCACCCTCCGCTTCCCAACATGCACCAGGAACCAGTTATTTGCCTTATGAAGCCCTGAGCATGCTCTCACAGGGCCGGCAGCTGGAAGTCTGGCGGCTGGGGACAAAGGCAGGGTCCAGGAGTCAGTGCCCACAGTTAAAGGCTCTCAGTCGCAGGAAGGCTGCCTGGCAGGTAGGGACTGAAATGGCTCCAGCTTTAGTGCCAATCCTAGTCCCCCACTCACAAGCTTTGCCCCTTGTGTAAATAAATGCCCCATGGCCACTGAGCCTTGTTCCCTTCATCTGTGACATAGGCTCCTGCTCTTGTGTCACAGCCTTATACACCATCTGTCAGCCCCTGGCAAGTGGCGGGCACTCCAACGTGTGCACAGGGTCCCAGCGAGGCCTGGCCTTCTGTGCAGCTAGTTTGTATTGAGTCCTTCCTGGGTGCCAAGCCCTGAGCAGCAGACCCCGTCAGCAGTGACCCAGAGGCTGTCTAGAGGTTTGGTTGGCTGTCAGTGGAAACTTGGTCCATCACCAGGAGCCAGACTGCCAAGCCCAGTGACCCAAAGGGGTGCAGGTGGGAGCAGGAGGCTCAGGGTTGCCTCCCCAGCAGGAGGTTCTTGCCCTGCCCTCAGAGTCCTGCGTGTCTCCACAGACGGGGGCAGCACCGTGCACCGTCCCCAGCCCCTCCCACCGTCCACCATGCACCAGGGTGGGCTGGCCGCGGCCGCTGCAGCCGCAGACACCAGCTCGGCCTACGGAGCCCGCCATGGCTTCTCCAGCTACTCCGACAGCTTTATGAACCCGGCGGCGCCCTCCAACCACATGAATCCTGTCAGCAACGGCCTGTCTCCTCAGGTAGGTTTCCCCGGGTCCTGCCCAGAGCCAGCGGCCCACCACCACCAGTCTGGCAAGTCAAGGTCCCCCAGGGTGGGGTGGGGTTGGGTGGGGTGGGTGGGGACGGGGACACAGGCTGGTTCTTGGACACCGGTCACTCCACTCACTGGTCTGCAGGGCACTCTGGCTGTTGAGTGCCTTGAGAGAGTTTAAGTGGGGAGCTGGGGTAGCCCGTCCACGTTCCTGCTGCCATGTCCTGCACTTCTTTGACGTGGGTTTACCTTCTTCAAGCTGCAGTCCCTGGTGATGAAGGGGGTGGGCCCAGGGAAAGGCTGTCCATAACGGGTGTCCATACTTCTTGCCACCCAGAAACAAACAGATAGTCATTCTAGACTCGTGGAGCTCGAGAAACCCGCCCTCTACCTGTCTTGTGGATGTGCCGTCTGCAGAAGTCAGGGTGGCCCATGTGGGTGGAAGCCTTGTCTCCTCTCTGCCTGTAGAGTGCCGACAGTGTTGGGGTTCACTCCCTCCTTCCAGAATCCCATCCTGGGCTCCTTCCCCCTCCTTTCACCAGGAGGGACGAGCCAGTGCCAGTGAGGACAGCATCCTGATTGGTGGAGAGGATTGCAGGTGCAGCACTAGGCCGAGGGCGCTGCTCTGGCTGGGTCTTTGAAACTTGCGCTCACATTTGTGCGGTTGGGGGCTAGTGGTGTGCATCAATGTCTGCTGGGGCTTTGAGACGTCACAGGGGCTCCTGTAAATGAAGACCGAAGAAAGTGGTGGTGCAGAGAGTGGTTGTTGGTGTGTTGTTGGGTGTCTTCTGGCTCATAGAAACCTCATGGGACAGAGTAGAACTGTCCCCAAGGGCTTCCTCTGTTTGTGGGTTTGCTGGAGGCTTTATGGGCGGGCACAGCCAGGCCTTTCTCTCCAGAGCCACCTGGCAGATCTGCGCTGTTCATCTTTTGGTGAGCAACACAGTGCTTAACCCTTGTCCCACCTCTATCATCGCAGTCCAAACCAAGACCAAACCTGCCGCCACCAAATCGATTCAGACTCCTTGTGACCCGGTAGGAGATTAGTCGTGTCCCGGTGGGGTCAGCTTTACAGTTGGACTCGTGGAGAGAGGTGGTTGAATCCATTACTGACTTGGGCCTGCCTCCCTCCCACCTCCCCACCTTCTTTATGCCTATCGGCGGTGAGAAAACCTTACAACAAAATTATCTCAACAGCCATCGTGTGGGTGTCAGAGCCCGGCTGAAACCTAGCTCCAGTGCCCAGGCACGTCAGCTTCTTTGAGCCTCAGTTTCTACCTGGTCAAGCCAAGAGTCTACTACTGACAATAGCAGCTGACGGGTCAAAGCAGCCAGCACAGAGCCTGGCACAACGCAGGTGCAGAATGTACGTTTACTCTCTTCCCTCTGGGTAATGTGACTCAGACGGGAAGCCTGGTACCTAAATGAACACAAACGGTGCCCAAGGTGAGGGCAGGGGTCCACAAGTTTTGGCTTATGGGCCATGCCTGTCCAGTGACCTGTTTTTGTGAGTCGGGTTTTATTGAAACATGGCCACGCCCACTTGGGTACACCTATGTCGCTGCTTTCAAACCGCAACAATAGGGCTGAGCCGTTCCGGCAGGCAGAAGTGCCTGCAAAGGCCAACATACGGACCATCTAGCCCTTTCCAGAAGTTTCTTGCCAAGCCCCGGTCTCAAACATTCCCAAGAGTGTTAATTTTCTGTTTACTCTGAGTTCACTCAAGTTCAAGTTTGCTCAAATTCACTCTGTGAATTTGGGTCCCTGAAGGTTAATTTCACTTCAGTGCCATTGTTTATGTTCACATATCTTGACTAGCCCCATCTCCTCTCTGTGCCTCAGTGTTCTCATCCATAAAATGGGGGTGATAGCAGGACTGACCTCGTAGGGTTGCTGAGGACTGGAGGAGATTGAACAAGGAAGATCTGGTACATGGAAACTATTCAGTCCGTGCTAGCAGCTGTGTGCAGGTCTCCGAACAGCGAGGCACCAGGTGTCCTGGGGCCCATGTTCTGCGGGTGACACCATGGCCTCAGCTCTGAGGTAGCTGGCCAGCTTGTCCTCCCTCACTGAGCCAGCCCCAAGTCTTCCTTTTCTGATGACCCCAGTGGCAGCCTCGCCTGGAGTTCTGAGTGTTTCCCTAGTCGAGTCTAATTGGCCTCTTTGGAGTTCAAAGGCATGACTCCAGTCTCGTTAGTGTCGAGTGCCAACTGGCCAAGCTGACCTTCCACAGTCAGAGTTAGACACAACAGGATCCCAGGGCGGGTTGGGTGAGGCTGGTCGCAGAGACCCCAGAGGGCCACACTCAAGAATGTGGTCCAGGCTCCACCTCCTAAGAAGCAAAAGGCTGGAGGGGCATGGCTCGGAAAGCCGCAGACGGCAGACTTTGCGCTTTGGTAGGCTAGCCACCCCGGTGTACAGATGGTCCTGGTACAACCCTGGTAGGGCTGGGGCCCAGAGTCCGCGTGCCAGGCCCCCTGACTGCAGCGCTTCCCCTCCCAGCTCATCGCTGTGTGACCTGAGGGTTACCTGCCCAGCACAGGGAGAGAAACCCGCGAAGGAGGGGTTCTTGGCCCCTGCAGCAGGAGTCGCTGGGGGGCACACGTAGCTGGGAGCTCAGCTTCTACTCAAAAGGTTGGTGCTTCACACTCACCCGGAAGCACCTTGGAAGAAAGGTCTGCGATCCGGTGCTGCTGCTCTGCTGCGCTCTGCCCACATGGGCGGGGTTGCCATGAGTTAGAACAGATGGCAGCTGGTTGGGGTACTTTATTTCCCCCCTTGTCTTGGTTTCAGCTCTGAAGCATGGTGTGGTGAAGGGCCTGAAGGGCGGGGATGCTTTCAGCAGGGTTTGGACCCAGAAAGGAACCCGGAGGAGGGAGGGGGAGAGGAGCAGAAACGGTCCCGAGCTGAACAGTCGGATCACCTGGAGCTTCTCTCCTGGGGGCTGGAAGGGTCTTCTGCCCTGCCACAATGTTCCCGAGTTGGACCTTCATTCCTCCTTCCCTCCTCGGGATTCCCCTGTAGCCAGAAATGAGAGGCCCTCTGGAAGCTTCCAGCTCATTCTTCAGAGCTGAGAAGCCACCAGGGCACGACGATTGGGCAGGCCTCCCTGATGTGCCCAGAAGTTCTCCC